TTTTCCGTTTTAGATGGCAGGTGAAATCATCAATGAGAAATTCTTCATGGGGAAGGCTGAAGAGCTTACGGTATGCAGAATTTGTCTGAGCTGAGCGCAATTGCATCTGAACATTCAGTTATGCAAGTTCAGTAAAAGAATGCATTGTGCAAGCATTAAAACAAATTCAGAGAACTTTTCCCCAGATCAAATTCTGGACAACTCATACCTTCTTGCCAACTTCTTTCCCCATTTTTTCCAGATAATTCATAACAACTTCAGTCCCCCGCGAATTGTTCAAAAAGATCCGCAGATGCAATTTGGGCTGGTGCCCTTGGGGAAACCTTCCATCAAGAGGAAGCCACATGTCACCCAAATCTGACAAATTGTTTTTCACAAAGTTGACTTCTGTTTGACCAATAGGAATTTCATTGCTTGCCCCATCTGAATCATGCACAACCACGTCCAATCTTGCTGGCGGGTCGTCCATCGCATCAAATTCAAATATTTCTGTAGAGTTGAAAAATCAAAGAATCAGGCAAATCTGAGAGGTCAAGAGGATGAAAGTGCTTCCAGCATGCCATTTCCAGCTGTCCTTTTAAACTTGTGGGATGAGATAAACTTATAATGTAGAAGCAGCACTTACCATTCCATTTTGGTTCAGAAGTCTGGTATTTGACTGAGCTGGTTTTCCTCTTTCCATTGCAGGTAAAAACTACGTAAGGATCAGGAAAACCAGGTGTACCTGCACTTACTACACCGCTTCCCTCAATAAGTGCAATAGTCAACAACCAACCATCTCCATGAGCTTTGACCCCATGATCACTACCTAATGTTGAGACAAGAAAAACGGAAATTAGATGACTGGCCATAGGGAATGGATAATTTTGCAAGTTACAGTGAAAATGAATGATAATAGCTTTTAAAGATGATTATTTTTTTAGTAAAGTCATTTAGAGGACTAAGGGAATCTTACAAAGGACTAGATAGAGGAGAGTAGTGAAAAGAAAATATTTGCTTCATTTTGGATTAACTCATTAACATTTACAGGATAACCTAGATCGGCCATCAGAAAGACATGTCAATATCAGCCATCACACAGAGATGATTACTGGCTTACCACGCTGTTTCCAGGCCTGCAAAAAACGTCGCCCTACTTTGATGATATTATGCCCCTGGATGATCACAATAAGACAAAATACAATCTCTCCAATGGAATCTGGAAGATCAATACCAAAATATTCAAGACCGCCATGCACCACATTAGGCTTGGCTAGATGAAGATGTGTAATGATATACAGTGCTGTACTGAGAGAGCATATGAATGCAAAGCTTCCAAGGAAGCGGGCAACCAGCTTCCAGTTTGATTCATTCTGCGTCTGCAGTGATGCTAAAATCTTATCTTTGGAATTAGCATCGTCAAGTTCAGCTACTTTAATTTTCCGGGACAGTACCTCAGAGAAATGTGAATAACCCTCTGCAAGGCCTTGTTTCGCTCCATTCTCTATCATTCCTTTCAGCATTGTACTCTGAACAAAGTTCAGACGCCAACTTACAGTAAGTTGTGTGGTCTGTTCTTCTAAGGGCAACTGGGAACCAGATATTATACGGTACAATATCTCGACCTTGAAACAATTGCCACAGGGAACATCAGGAGTGCTAACACTAGACAAAACTGCAAAAGAACTTCCAGTTGCCTTCAAGTATTTCTGCTCTTCTGTGGCTTTAACAGATTTAACTAATTTGCTAGCGGCTTTTGTATAAGTTATCGTTCGTTTTAAACAATTCTCGTTATTGTCATGCCTCCAGGGCTCAATTTGAAATCCATTTGTTCCTTGAAGTTCAGAAACTTCTGGCCAGAAATCTGAAGTTCCAGAAAACAACAATGAATTCAGTTCAGCTGGTGCAATAATGTAAGATTGGTCCACTAAAACACCACCAGGCAAGTTTGCCGGCATTTCACAAGCTTGGTCTTTGGACTCCATATTTTTCAGTAGTTCATCAAGACTGACCTCAGACAGTGTGCAACCCTCGCCATTTTCACGACACTCAGAATTCATTTGTGTGTTTCGAAACTGGTCTACGGACACAGGATCTGATGCTACAGAACGTGTAGCTTCAGCAGATTTCCGGAAGTATCGAGACATGACCTCCACTACTGATGATGTATCAGCGATGGCACTACCATCGTCTTCTTCAGGCTCCAGAAGAATAGATTGCTCTGTGCTGACACAAGACGGTGGCCCTGTGCTTCTAGGGCCTCGGACCTCCATCATGCTTTGGTTGAAGCCATCCACACTTTTGCGGCATGCCCGATCAATGCTGGTAAAGGCTGACAGATCCAGGCTACTAGCAGTAGCTGATAATGACGAGTCATTAGTTTCAACTGACCTGTGTGAGCTGCATGATATATCATCAATAAGTTGTGGTGGAGCTTGATGTGCGTCGTCACAAAGGGTGGCCCTAACCGATAAGTATACTCTCAGGCAAATTTCACCTGCAAGGAAATATGATTGAACAGTGAATAATGCTAGCTTCAGTCACCACAGTCCACAGCATTCTACTCTGCAGAAATTTGAAATGATCTTCTCAACAGCAAAGCATTCATCAGAACAGGGATAAAAAAAAACTGCTGAGGATTGGGGACAAAGACTTGTGATATGGAAAATCACTCAATTAAAGAGGATTTGGCGCATTGCTATGGGAAGTAGAAAAATCTTGACTATGAACAACTTGATCAAGGCGTTATGATTTTATTTCCCTGAACAAGTAGAACGCCTATCATGAGGTTGGAATCCATGTGCAGAGCAAGCATCCATTCTCCTACCCACATCTCCTTGGTATCTGTTTCGACTGCTTTGAACCATATCATCATTGATGAAGCATTGATTTCCATGGCATGCAAGAGGAAAAATCGGATGCAAGCAGGGAGTACCGCGCCTTTTCTTCCTGAACTTGGCGGCGCCGCTCCTGGGCTGGAGCTGGTACCACCTGGTGCCGAGACTCAGGTCGTCCGTCTCCATGATGGCGGTGAGGGGCATCCTTACCCGGCCCAGGAACTCGGCGCCGAAGAAGCGGTCCTCGTTGAGCACGGAGACGACGAGCTCCTCGGCGACGTCGCCAACGAGGAACCCGAACTCCTCGTCCCACACGGGGCTGAGGCTCCGCTTCACCACCGTGGTCGCCCGCGGTCGGCGCCTCCCGAGCTGCAGCCGCACGTAGGGGTCGCTGGAGCCGTTGAGGTAGATGGCCGGCAGGCCCCGCGCCTCGATCACGTGCACGCGCAGCAGCATCGGCGCGTCGTGGCGGCCGGGCTCCGGGGGACCACCCGGCGGGCCCGATGGCCTCGCCATCCGGCCGGGGCCTCCTCGGGGACGGACGAGCGCTGCGACGGTGCGACGAGGAGAGAGAGAGAGAAAGAGATCGAGCAGCAATGGCGGTTCCGCGACCTCCGAGGAATTGGGGATTTGCCGATTTGGATGAGGCGCGGGGGGGGGGGGGAGGCGGGGGTGCGATTGCCCGCGGTCGTTTGAATTCGGGAGGTGTTTGGGGGGAGGCATTTCGCGAGCCGTTGGATCTGAGGGAAGGGGGTGGTTCCAGCCTAACACGTGGACGCCTGCTCCGATAGGCTCGGGACGCCTCAGGTTTATATAAACTGAAATAAACGGCATTAATCGAGGCAGCAACTTCTCTTTAAACGAGTATGAGCTGTGCTCCGCTGTGATTTTCCCACAGTGGCTGCAGTGTACTCCCTCCATCTCAAAATAAATGCACATCTTATGAATTGAGAAATCAAACTTTTGCTAAGTTTAACCAAATAAATACAAAAAAAATTGCTAATGTTTATGGTGTGCAATAAATATCATTAGGGTATGCAGTCATTGGTCTCGAGAAGGATATTACTCCATATTTTACATGGGACAACAATCAAAAGGCAAATTTTTGAGTTGTAACGGGGCAAAATACGACATGCAAAATAACTTCAGATGGTCAGCTTCTTGATTTGCTAAGGGCATCTCAACGGGTAAAGCTCCTAATGATAGTAGGAAGATGTGAGGAAGGGGATGAGAGGCTGGGGTTGAAAAAAAAACCAAGGTAAGGGAACTCTTGTACTTGCTGCAATATTGAGCCATCCATAATTGATGCTTGTCCCTCACAGGAAAAGCAAATCTGCAGCAGTTGAAGCCTCCTCGAGCCATCCAAAAACAATTGTTGAACCATCCACAATGCCTCATTCAAGCCCAGGGGTAACCACTAGAAGGATGGCTTCTCTGGCTCCATTCGCTGGTCTGAAACTTGACTGAAAAACACTGTTCCGGCTAAATTGTTGTGAGAGAAAAATATTGTTCGGCTGATTTGGTGAACAGTAAACTGAGAGGGGGAGCAGCCGGCTGGCTGGTCAAACCAGACCAGCGAACTGCCCCTCTTTCTCCAACTAGCCCAAGAGTAACAACTAGCAGAATGTCAACAATCTCACCTGGAGGAATTAATCGTAGGCTCATCATTGAGTAGATGAATTACTAATGTAGTACTTTTACCGTGACAGTGGTCTTTTGTGTGAACAAATGTCATGCTGTACCTTTAAAAAAAATGTCATGCTGTAATTTGTCAACATTGCTGAAATTTGTGTTAATGTCATGCTGAAAGTGTTGCTGAGAAGAAGTGTTATATCCTCTCAAAATAGTCTTACATGTCATTGTACATCCTGCTATAGTTAGCCTGTTTGCTTGCTCGTAAACGATCGTAAATTTCCAGCCGGGAATAGTGTTTTTCTCTCACACCAAACCAGCCAGCAGTAAATAATCCACGATACGATACGGCCTCCCGAACAGGCTAAGTGTTGTTAAATTGGGGCTTAAGATATGCTGAAATGAAACCCGGAAGTGCAGCCGTACTGTTGTCCAATTGTTTCTCAGCTCTAGTTAACGGTGAGTTAACAGATATGGTAGAAATAAGTAAGAGTGATTTTTTGATGCTATTTTTCTAAAGCTGCGATGCTATTTTTCTAAACTTTAGATCTTTTAATGGTACCAATCCAATTTTCCAAGTGCAAATGAGGGGAAATCGTAGTTCAGGATGAATACAAATTGTTCTTTTCTCCTCTGTTACCGCGCAGTCAAGCACACACTGTCAAAAGTACATGGAAACAGAACAGCTCCGACCAGAGTTATTACCAGACTAACACGCACGGAAGCAGATAACGTATGATTTACAGAAGCAAAGAGCATCTGGTGCAAAACTACTAAATTCTCGAATGGTTTCTCCCACTGGTCATCTTGACAATCCTCCTCACTAAAATTGTGAATAGCAGAAAAAGAGGAGATGCCTGGAGCCTGAACATAAATAGCTGGTTTCTTTCGCCCTTTTGCATCGCATCTGACTGAGCTCCCTGATGATACACGCCATATGCATTTGTCCGTTGCATCAGCATCATACATTACTCTTTGCCAAAATCTGCACTGTAATGTGCACTCGATTCCAGCTTTTTTGCATCATTGAGCTTCCGCACAGCCTGAAATGAAAGATGCAGGGATTGAGTGTTAATGTGTAACCCCCACTATGCAAAGGTACACAAGATTGGAGTGTAAGACAGTGCACCTTCATGAAGTCTTCGTGGACTACATAATCTCTCTCTGCACGAATTGCAGCCATACCAGCTTCAGTGCACACGTTCCGAAGATCAGCCCCATTGAAACCCTAAAACCAAGAGAGTAAGGTGAAACTATACAATTGGATTAGAGGTTAGATATGATAATACAACTCACTCACTTCAGCTAGTTTTACAACTGCTTCGTAATCAATTTCCCCATGCTTGGCGATACCAGCTGCATGGATTTTCAGAACTTCCATTCTTGATTGCTCGTTGGGTAGCGGAATTTCAATCTTCCTGTCTAAACGTCCAGGACGTAGGAGCGCGGGGTCCAGAACATCAGGTCGATTCGTGGCCATGATCATCTTTACCTGTTCAAGCCAAATATCCTTGTCAAACTGAATTCATACAGAAACAGCAAGACACAAGCTGCTCTATGTAACAATCATAGAAAATACAAGGTAAATAGAGTGTCATGAGTATTGTGTCAAGCAAGTGAAAAATCAATATTGAAGCGGATTCTGAAAAGTGGCATCATGTTACTAGTAACTTTGATTGTGCCTATTTAGCTAACCATGCAGAGCCTACCAAGCATACAAATTGCTAACTTTATAGAGTATGTAGACTCTGGAAAAACAAGAACGCTGGTGTTGACAGATATTTCGTGAAAATTATACACCGATTACAGGATTGGGAGAGCACGGTAAAATAACATTTTAAACAGTTAAACCTGCCTCAGTTCTAAAACCCCAAAAATCAGAGTTTACACAAATGATAAAGCAGCAACATAAAGGTAATATACCTTTCGGCATCCAATATTCCAATTATTCAAATAAAGTTTCATTAATGGGCCTGTTCGCTGGTTGGTGCTGGTGCTGGTTTGGGCTGGCTAGTGCTGGTTTTTTGTGAGAGGAAAACACTGTTGGCTGGCTGGTTTGGGCTGGCTGAAACCAACAAGCGAACAGGCTGATTATATTACAAATTCCAACAGTAAACATGCATTTGCTCAACAGTACTATCAAATGGAGCTTGCAAAATCGAGAAGTTACAACAGTAAATCACATGGTAATGTTCTTCCAGGTGTTATATATCCAATAAATGTGGAGTGCATAAATTTGGTTAGATCAACTTCCATTTAAAGATAGCATTACCGTTATACCTAAAAAATATGAGTTATCTAAATAAAAAATTTACCTTTCCTAGCTCGTCAAATCCGTCTAATTGGTTAAGGAGCTCCATCAACGTCCGCTGGATCTCACGATCAGCACTAGTTCCCTCACTAAATCTTCGCCCACCAATGGCATCAATTTCATCCATGAAGATGATGCATGGCTAGATAAGAAAAAATTGACATGAAAAGAACAAATATCATGAGTGATGGAACTAAAATGAATGATGATACAAGTCAGGTAAGGGAAGTGCATTATTGATTTGGTAGTGCCCCGACAGGAATTCAAATGAAGTAATTGATCCGAGTGATTTTTCTCATGCAAAGATGATAATTTGAAAAGTATTTCTTCTCATGCAACACTAACAATGAGATCCACACATTAAGTAATGATCAGTTTTATTAGTAAAGCACATCTTCCATATTGCATTGGTGGGAAATATTTTTATGACACAATATGTTCATCAAATAAACTATTGTAGTAATGTATACCAGCTTGCATAGCTACTTTAGACGCACAGCTTCAGGGAATATATCAATATACCATGGTAGTGTCTTCCAGATAAATGAAAGATCAGTTCAGAACCATTAGGTTTGCAGGAACTGAAAAAGAGTAACATCAAGCCTTTGATACTTACTTGGTGATCCCGTGCATAGCCAAACATTTCTCTAATCAAACGTGCACTTTCTCCAATGTATTTGTCGATAATAGCACTTGAAACAATCTGTTTTTAGACATTATGTAAGCAACATATTTGAAGTGTAAGAAATACTGAATGCCATCAATGAAGTGAAAAGCCACACACCTTCAGAAAGTTAGCATCGATGTTACTTGCGATAGCCCTTGCCAATAGGGTCTTCCCAGTTCCTGGAGGACCGTAGAGTAGAACACCCTGGATGAGTAAATCAAACAAGCATTGATATCCAGTCAGAACATTAGACATTAATCTCTTTCACCTCATATGCATAATTGGGATCTAAACACATATTTGTGTTTACCTTAGGAGGCTTAATTCCCACACGAAGAAAGAGTTCAGGGTTCATAAGAGGTAACTCAATGGACTCCCTGAGCTCTCTAATCTGATCAGACAAACCGCCTACAGCGGAGTAACTGACATTTCCTGGATCTTCATGAAGCATGTTATATACCACAGGATCCACCTGAAGGATTTTCATTCCACATCATCAAAATACATTTTTCCATTGAAAACATTTGTTCTTCAACAGAAAAAAAAACTAAGAATAGATGAAGAAAAATACATAAAATGACTGATAAGCATACCTCCCGTGGAAGAGTGCGCATTATTGTCAAGGTCGTCATGTCAAGTACAACACGAGTTCCAGACGTCAACTTCTCCTTGTCCACTTTACTTCGGCAACCGACCACGTATCGGGGACCACTGCTGGCCTTCACAATAACTGAAGAGACAGGTGTTTCAGTGTTCAGCTTTATATCGTTGATAAATATAAAACAGAAACTAAAAGTGGTACTTGATGTAGACGTGCCAAAGAAAATACAAAATAGTCAGTTGGTGACTATAGATTAACAGCAGTATTCTCATTCATTGCTACCAAGGAGAGAGGAATGGCAAAAACAGATACGAGTATGTGTTCCTTTATAGTGGGGAAAGAATTGACTCTGAAGCCTGTAAACTGTGTACATGGATACAGATCCAAAGACACAGGAAATGCACTGGACTTACAGCGTTCATTATCAAGAGGTCGGAGAACCTCTCCAATTATTTGCCCCACGCTCTGCAGAGACTTCAAGTCATCTTCAGTCTTGGTAAAATCCTTCTTTGCATTTTTAAGGCTTTCTCTCACTGCATGGAAGGGGACAAGCAAATCATACTAGTTAAATTGGAATGAGAGTTTCAGAAAACAAACAAACAATGTATTTTGGCAATTCTTAGATTAACCTCTAAGAACAAAAGCTATTGTGGAGCACCAATGCTGATAGTTTTGGCTGTGCATCAAATTTACAAATGAAAAATAATAGTAATAGAGTACAGTAGGCTCATAGCAACAGTATAAGACTAACAGAGAAGAAACCAAAGCTTGCGATGGGAAGAAATTTAAACCAGGGAACTGGGGCAATTCAAGCTTATAAGGATTTATTAAACATAAACAGATGACTCTTGGTACACAACATATAAATCCCTAGCTCTCAAAACACATTACCAATAATCAGATACAGAGAACAGAGTTAGGAGCATTTGCACCATATGATTTTCTTAAACAGACATCATGCAGTTAGCATGCTGAGAAGTGGGACAACTCTTGGATTGCGGCAGCTGTAACCAAGCTCAAGCTCAGGATACATGCTACTTTTGCCATGGAATTCTATACCCCTCAAAACTGAAATCGATCCAAAAAAATGTAGAGGATCCACGCACAAAAGCTCTAAGAAAATTGAAGTTTCGCACTTCAATAAAAGAATTGCCGGTGTCTAATTGATGCCCCAACAAGTCTTTAATTGTTTATCTGCAAACGCTTGAATGACCAAACAAGCAAAGTTTTGTGAGTGATCAACAAATAGTACGCAGCTCAACCAGGGTGAGAGGGAAATATTGGGGCCAATTATCCTAGCAATCGCTACCAAGATTAACCAGACTAAGTACTAAGCCACTTCGTACTTGCAGAATTTCAGATCCACATAAGGCCTTGTTTGGATGTTATAGTATTCACCTCAATCCACATGTGTTGGTGTGAACTGGGGTGAAATTTAGTTCAAGTTCTACTCCAATCCACCTCAACACATGTGGATTAAGGTGACTACGAACATCCAAACAAGGCCTAAAGCAACCAGTCCCCACACGGCCAGATTTAGCGCTCCAACCCCAAATCTACTGAATCAACAGCTGCCAAAACCTAACGCCACAAGTCCCGATCTAGCACGGAAGGAGCCGCGAAGCAAATCATCACCAACCCCTAGTAAAGCCTCGAAATCAACGAGTACGCCGCGCCACGGCCAGCGAATCTACATAGAAACTACTCGACATCCGAACCTCCAGCTAGATCCCGCGCACACAGCCACAAAACCCCCTAGTGAGACACGGGAATCGACCGCCCCCGAACCCTAGGGACACTAGAGTCGAGCAAGGTGGGTGAGGGCAGGAAGTGGAGGGGGAGGACTCACCGGTTCCGACGCGCGACTCGAGCTCCCTGCAGTTGAGCAGCTTCTTGCGGTAGTCGGTGATGGCTGCCCGTCGGCGTGCGGCGGCGGCGTCCTCCCCGTCGGCCATCTCGTCGTCCCGCAGTCTCTCTCTCGCGCAGGTTTTGCTTCCGTCGCAAGAAGAGAATCGCGCAGGTTACGTAAAATCGACTAGGGCGCTTTACGGCTTATCTACTGACTGCAGAGCTCACGATGCCGGCCTGAGCTGAACACGGTGACATCTTTTCGGCCCGCAAAGTGTTTTAGGTGTTTCTTTGGGCCACTGGGCCGGAGTGGGCTATACTATTTCCCTGAAACTTCTAGACAGGCTTAGGTCGGATCAGGAACACTGTTGTACTTCCATGTGATGTGAACTTGTCTTTCTCCAAAAAAACAAAAAAACAAAAACAAAAAACAAATGTGATGTGAACTTGTTAAAAAAAGTTGTGAATATGTGAACTTGTTAATATGCTTCCATGTGATCTTGTTTATTACTATTGAAAACATGCTTACATTGGAGGATAGGATGTCTCTTATCCAGTTCATGTGAACTAGTGCCTTTGACCCGAGCAAAATTGCAAGTAGCACATGCTTCCGTCATTCTTACCTGTTTGATGCTTATATTGATATTATATTGCACCTTTTTCTTCATTTGCATCACTCTCATCTATACTTATTTCAGAGAATGAAGGCTCAAGAAGTCAAGATACATAAATAATTTCACACACATCATCTTTTGCCCAGCAGCCCAAGTATACAAAGAATCTGGTGTCTAACAGTAACATATTGACATGTAAAAGCACTATCAGTGTGGTGTGGCGGTAGAGGCGTGGTGCATGACTCCACCACCTGGACTTAAATCTCAGTGTGCATATATATTGATGTTCGTGAAGTTTAATGGTTGCATGTCATTCGGTATGGTATTAGGAATATTTAGGATGAAAGGTCAGTTAAAATGTTAGTGGCAATACCTATTCCCACGTTTTGAGGCTGGAGGAAACTTGCATATAAGTGGAGTCGAAATATAAAGTGAATTACCCAATTTCTCATTAGTTTAATATTTTTGGGTTAAGCTGATTATTGTTGGCCACCAATACCTTAAAACAAATTGACGTGGAAGCAACGGACAATATTTTTAGTACTAGTGGAGGGGCGCGCGCCATCGCGCCCAGATGCAGTCACAATTTCGAGGTAAACAGAACAGTAACATGGACATAGTTGACTGAAGCATAATTATACAGCTATTGTACATGGATTTATTCCTGGAACGTGTCCAAGGGGTTTTGAGTGTATGAACAAGCAAGGACCTAGTTTGCTAGGTGGAAGAGTAGAGTAGCTATACAGAGCCATTACAGGATATTGAGCAGTTCGCATCCTGTGAAAAATGTTACTGGTATTCTTAGCGTGGACTAAATTAGAAGACTTATTTATCAGAACTATTTGGCTTCAAGGATCTTAGAAAACATATTTAGAGGAGTGTAAATTTTGGGGGAACGAAATGCTATTTTAGAAATAGCAGGTGATACCCTAGTAGCCTGGATACTGTAGAGTGCACAAGCGCAAGAGCAATCATCCAAGTCCACATAAGCATTACCGGTTACAGCTAACTAACCATAGTTGTAGGTGCATCAGCCTGAATATTATACAACCAACAGGCTTCGACAACGGCGTCTCCAATATTTCTACAGTTTTTTTTTAATTCGTGGCTGATCTTGGGGGTCTAATGCAGCTCCCTGCGCAGAAGAATGAAGCTGGTACTTTGTTCGCGGGAGGAGCCTGTGTTAACATAAACTGAGTTATTAACGGAACAAATAACAATATTTCAGTGGACTGATAGTCTCTGGGATGAGTGTACTGCCGAAAATAGTGTGATGCTGTATATATATTATATTAATTATGTTGACCAAGGAAGAAAGTAGGAAACGAAGTAGTAAACATTTTTTGGGTGCAGAGCTGGTGTACAAACAAAGGATTTACTGAAGATGGTATATGGTCTGTGTTGTACATTGACTAATACTGTAAAAAAAAAGGGCGTACCCAGTGCAGAGAGCTCCCGCTCTGTGCGGGGTCTGGGGAAGGGTGTTAGTGGCAAGCCTTACCCTCGCTTGTGCAATGCGAGGAGACCGCGACTCGAACCCGGGACCTTCCGGTCACAGGCGGTAAGAGTCTACCGCTTGCACCAGGCCCGCCCTTCACATTGACTAATACTGTAAGTTAGGAAAATAAATACATTGTATGATAATATGCAGAAGCAGTGTATGCCACAATCATAATATGCAGAACCATGGTATTTTCTCTCTCTATTAGCATAGGAAAACTAAATCAATGTCGCAAGGGTTGCTTCAATGTCCATTAATCGGTTTCAGTCCACAAAGATGGTGCAATCAGAGTATGTCGAAGAGAACTATGAGATAGATCACTTAAGTAACTGACCCTTTTAGAGTAATCTAAAAGGAGCACAACACATAACGATTCTCTAAATTGCACTGTTAAATCCTAGGACATTTATTGGTGCTCAGAATCCTGAAGTATGTTCCACAGCAACTGCACTGTCTATACATCCACCAAATCAAATCATACTGGAGTTCAGTTCAATGTGTATAGCATCCAAATTCACTTAGGTGGTATATCCTTTGTGGTGGGCAAACAGATCCAAATGGTTGCAGTTTTTTTTTTTTCAATAGAAATAGTATAAGAAATACTATATTTATAATAGAAGTCAAGTAAAATAAAGCGAACATAATACCCTGAATTACTATGGCTGTGCGAACTGCATCCCTAAATGATATTGTTACATATTCTTAGATCATTGGATTCGATAGTAAAGTCATGAGTGTGATAGGTGAGTCATATAGTGACATCTAGCTTAAGATTCCTTGTGGGAACTGCCCTTTGGTTGATGCTTTTGATGCTTGGAGGAAACAGATCTAGGCCTGTGATTTATGTTTACATGTATGTGTGCAGGTACATTTGCCTGAATGGATTTAAGCACTGTTACCTGGAAATACAACTTTTACCTCTTTGATGGAGGCTCCTGTAGTGCACCACCTGGGTTATTGTTACCACCTGGTACTATGTGTCCTACGTTCGAACTGTTATCATCCATAATTTCCTACAAAGTAAAATAGCGAAAATTTGTAAGGATCAGATGCACTGAAGGATATAATAATTGTGATCTAGTAATCTATGAGTCATGGATTACCGGTGCATGAATCGGTAGATTCAGTCAACTTTACCTTTGACAACGAAAGGGCACAACATATTTGTTTACCTGGGCACAACAACGTGGCAGGGCTACAATGCCGCAAGGACGTCACTGCATTCACCGGCCGGCACAGCAGGTAAGTCTACAGGACAACTGACGCCAAGGCCAAACGCTGGGGGAAAAAAATTAACTGAAACAGAAACGAAATTAGGAGCACTGAATATGTAATTATCAATGAGGAATTAAGACCACATGGCCCCTAATTTGTGGCCAAACCGGTGTGATCCCAGACCTGGAACAGCGAGCGAAGTTCGAACACAAATAGAACGAAGAGGAATCACCAGCCGGGGCAAGCACAGACTAATGACGACGCGGAGCTAGGACCGCGAAACCTGAAGGCAGCACGAATGGACAGATATGAAACGAAAGGAAACCAAAATATCAGATCCAGAGCACAGAACATGGAAAAAATCAGAGGACCATGAGCTGCAAAAATGTGGGGAGACCACTGTGCTAAACTACAAATCAAAGACACACAGGATCCATAAGCTCTGGGGAAACGGGAACCACCGTGGTCTAGCACAGCAGTACGCACCTTGGTAATAACCCTAGATGAGCGCAGGCAGCGTCGTATTCCGCGATGTGCGAACGAAATGGGGAGGCGGCAAAGTCAGCCCCCCGCACGGTTAACAGCTTGGACGACGCTGGGAGGATACGAGACGGAAGCGCGAGCTGGACACAGAACCGGCGAGCTCGGCGACGGCGAGCAGAGGCATGCGGCGGCGGTGTGGAATCGGATCAGGACGGAAGCAGGGGGAGGCAGCCCCCCGCACGGCTCACAACTTGGACCGCGCTAGGAGGGCGGCAAACGGGAACCTGAGCTGGGTACAGAACCGGCGAAGTCGGCGAGGGCGAGCAGAGGCAGGCGGCGGCGGTGACGAATTGGATGAGGACGGAAGCATCGAGGAGAATGGGGAAGAGGCCGCAGAAGCTGAAATCCCAGGTATATATATGCGGGGCCTTTCTTACCGTAGAGAAGCCAGAATTACAGGCTGCGGACAAAGGGAAGCGGCCAAGAGCAGGATCTTGCGGCAGGAGCCTGAACCGTGAGATTGGGAGATCCAACGAACAAAAAAAAATTGGCCAACGTGGACACGGCTTCTATCTTAGGAGCTAATGGGTTTCGTGGGGTTAAATTGCTCATGGGTGTTTGAGTTCAATTACACGAACGAACTACCCCTCCTTGTTTGTTCAGTCAAGCTCTCTGCCACTACTGATAATAATGTACGAGGGAAAATATCTTTTTCAGAAAAAAAAAAGAAAAGAAACTATAGAGATGCACACGCAACACAAGTTTGAAGGCACATATATGTTATGTGTACAGGACCACAAACTTGGAAAGAAACATTTATTAAACTTGGCAGGCCGTACAGGCCCCGAATTCTAGTCTAGGGTAAAAAACCCACATCCAATCACATAATTGTATTCACGATCACAGGCTGACCATACAGAGCTCAAAGATTTGTCTCACACAACCAAAGCCGTGTAATTAATTATTTTTTTATCTACATTTAATGTTTCATGCATGTGTCTAAAAATTGATGTGATAGAAAAATAGTGAAAAAACTTGGAATTTTGATGGATCTAAACAAGGCCTGGGAAAGAAACATTTATTAAACTTGGCAGGCCGTACAGGCCCCGAATTCTAGTCTAGGGTAAAAAAACCACATCCAATCACATAATTGTATTCACATACCCTGCAGGCTGACCATACGGAGCTCACAGTCACACTCACATCGAGGAGCCAGTGTAGACTTTAGGAATTGTTGTGTTCATATTTAGCACTCCGCAGTTTCATCTCCGTCCGTCCGTCCGTCCGTCCGTCT